AATACACCCCATAGGATGCACCACGTAAACTGCACACCGGGAACAGAACACGTACTGCTTGGGGTCAAGTCTGTCAAACTCTGATCTATATGTTCTGGCATTCCTGTTTCCCCAAAGAAGGTTTTAGCCCCCATCTTTCGTCTCTGCCATCTTAAACCGTCTTCCGCCCAGTTCCCCACCCAAACAACAGTGCACTGAGGCTCGCCAGTCCGCTTGAGCCATCCTCGCCGTCGCAGCCGCAGCCGTCGTCGCTATCGCTTTTGTCGTCGTCGTCGCCGCCGCCGCCGTCGCTGCCGCCAGTCCGCCCGTCGTCGGATCGCAAACACACCTTCGAGTCGCACGCGGCCGTGAAACGAATCCGAACGGGCACCGAAAGTTCGGCGAACCCGAGTCCCGGCGATGCCGAAACTGCAACTGCCTTGAGTGCAACGCGCGGCAAGGTGCAAGACTAGCCAACCCCCAGGCACCGTCTCCAACTCCGAGGAGGCGGAGGCGGCTGAAGCAGGAAGTAAGTACGAAGAAGCGAGAAGACGCCCCCCCCCCCCCCCCCACGACTCAAGCTCAGACTCCTACTCCCCCCCCTCCGCACAGGGCTGGGGAGCGTTCCTGGACCTCTGACATCCTCCCTAGGGTCCATACGAGGTGAATCCCCTCAGGGACAATGTCAGGAAGCGACCTCCTCCTCCTCCTCCTCCTCCTCCCCTCCCTCCTCCTCCTCCTCTCCTCCTCCCCCCTCCTCCTCCTCCTCTCCCTCCTCCCCCTCCCCTCCTCCTCCCCCCTCGTCCCCCTCCTCCTCCTCCTCCTCCTCCCTCCTCTCCTCCTCTCCTCCTCCTCCTCCCCTCCTCCTCCCCCCTCCTCCTACGTGAAATCATCCAACCGGCCCCGAGCGGCTCTCGGAGGCCACCGTGCTCCCCATGCACCGCCTGCAGTGCCCCCCCCTCCTGCCTGTCCCCCACCAGCCCCTCCAACGTGTTTCTCGTCTGCTTCCCCCCCCCCATCTATCTCTACTCCCCCCTCTTCCGCTCTCCGCCGTCCTCCTCGCTCCTCCTCGCCCCCCCTCGCTCCCCCTCGCCCACCCCGCCCCCCTCCAGCTGATCCATCCTCGGCATTCTGAGTTACTCCTCATCCGCCGTCCCCCTTCTTCTCCACCGTCCTTCGTCGCCATCCTCCTACTCAGCATCTTGCTGGAAATATGCAGCATTATCTCTGTCATCCCATCCACCATCCTGCGCCTGTCCACGCCAAGGCGACGACCGCGACGACCTCGACGACGACCACAATGACATCAACGACGACGACGGCGAGAGCCCCTGTACAACTCCGCAAGCCTCAGGGGCACCTATTTTGTTCTCTCCGAGGAACTGCAAGAACGGCGCATGCCCACCGCTCCACTTCACTGAGGGGTAATGATCGGGGGGGGGACTGGCTCAGAAGGAAACATCGGCCTCGAATCGGCAATACATCGCCGATGACGAGTGCGCACGCTCCTGGGCTGGGTGGGCTAATATGAAGCCCCCCTCTGCGATTGATGGGCGATTGGGGCGCGATGCTTCCGCCCGGAGCCTATCCCGCCCAATGATCCTCGTCGTCTGATTTTCGGGTCAACCTCCGGCGCCCATTCGGGACGATCCACACAACCCCGGAACGCCCTCGACCAGGCGCGGCTGGTGGAAACCACCCTGGGCCTCGGAGACTTCCGACAACTCCCGAAAACATTCGAGAACCCTCGACGACGACGACGACGACGACGACGACGACGACGACGACGACGACGACGACGACGACGGCGACCACAACGGAAATGTCAACGACGACGATCAGCGTGCGAACATGTGATCTACAAACTAAATGGACTTGTATTTGCCTCTCCCTCTCCCGTGTACACGCCCACTGAGTCTCTGATCCAACAGACTTCTTTCGGGGATGGACAGACCCCCTTTAGTAAAATGTGGTCTAGTGAAAACGACCTGAGGCCCAAACCTGGCGGGGCGCAAGCCTGGAAAAAATAACGGCCACGGCGCCCCCTCGAGAACCGAAGACGGACCATTCACGAATCGACGTGTCACTGTTGGGGGTTCTGTCCACCCCCGATTCTTCAAGGGAGACTTCTCCTACCGGCAACCGGGAGCACCGCTCCGCGGTGCTCTCTCTCTCTCTCTCTCTCTCTGTGCGCACCGTGCCGCCACGGCCGCCGTGCGAGCGAACGCGCCCGCGGGCAACTCACAAGCTCCTGCGGGGTGCGAAAACGTGTTGGTGGAGCGCGCCGTTCCCGAGTCTGGGGGGGGCCCTCGCGGAGCTCACAGTTATGAAGGGGCCCTGAGACACACAAAAAAATACACACAGATAACAGGATTCCCCATATCTTCCCATATTTTCTGCGTTTTTGTCTTCCCCCCCCCCACACTTCCCATATGTTCCCATATTTTCGGGGGAATCGACGATTCATTGTGTCTGTGTGTTTCTTTCCCTCCTGAAGGAAGAATCGCGCGGGAGCCGTTGTCGTCCCAGCGGGGCTCTCGCAATATTGAAATGGATTGCGAGGGCGTCTCGGGCGAGAGCGCAGCTCCTGACTTCGACAATACGTACGACTAGGGCGCAGGCAAATAGACTTCGAGGAAGTATCGAGCGGGAACCGTTGTCGTCGGGGCTGGGCCTTCGCCATCCTGAATGGGTTGCGGGGAAGTCTCGAGCCAGCGCGCCGTTCTCAGATTGGGGGGGCCTCTTTGGCCAGGGCGTCCTGTGGTAGATTGCCAGGAGCTCTCCAGCAAGAGCCGAGATCCTCGCAATTGGGCCTCCAACGACCGGGACTTGGGGAACCCAGCCCGCGCTCCAGCGGGAGCGTCGCTCGCACAGAAAATGTGGCCTGCGCCGAGGCGAAAGCGCCCGGAACCGTTTCCAAAGATCAGCAAGGATGAACCCCAAGTCGGGCCTGTCCCTCTATATATACGACCATCCTTCGGGTGAGAAGGAGGTTCGGGGGGGGGGGAGGAACCAACGTCTCACTCGATCGGTCTCACTATCGATCTCACTATCGATCTCACTATCGATCTCACTATCGATCTCGCTCGCTCGATCTCACCCAATCGATCACACAATCGATCTCACTCGATCTACTTCATTCGATCAATCTCACAATCGATCGAACTATCGATCTCACAATCGATCTCACTATCGATCTCACAATCGGTCTCACTATCGATCTCACTATCGATATCACAATCGGTCTCACAAGCAACGTCATCATCATCAGCATCATCGGCATCATCGTCATCAGCGTGATCAAAAGCATCATAATCATCGGGACACCATCATCATCATCACCCACCACCATCATCATCAACGTCATCATCATCACCATCATCATCATCGGGACACCACCATCGTCACCATCATCATCATCATCATCATCATCATCATCAACATCGTCAATATCATCGGGACACCATCATCATCATCATGATCATCATCATCGGAACACAACCATCATCATCATCATCATCATCATCATCATCATCATCATCATCATCATCACCATCATCATCATCATCATCATCTCATCATCATCATGAACAGCATCACCAACATCAACATCATCATCGGGACACCATCACCAGCATCAACAACATCATCATCACCAACCTCATCACCATCATCGGGACACCATCATCATCGTCACCATCATCACCATCAACATCATCATCATCATCTGCATCATCATCATCACCATCATCGGGCCACCATCATCATAATCATCATCACCACCTCATCATCATCACACTCATCATCATCATCGGAAAATCATCATCGTCATCATCATAACATCATCATCACCGGGACACCAGGATCATCACCACCATCATCAACAGCATCATCGACCTCATCATCACCATCGGGGCACCATCATCATCATCAGCATCATCTATATCATCATCATCATCATCTTTTCATCATCAACATCATCAGGATCATCGACATCATCATCATCATCATCATCATCATTATCACCATCATCATCATGATCGGGACACCATCATCAGCAGCAACATCATCATCATCAACATCATCATCATCGGGACACCATCACAATCACCGAAAACACCATCATCATCATCGTCATCAACATCGTCAACATCATCCTCATCGGGACACCATCATCATCACCACCATCACCATCAGCATCATCATCAACATCATCGACTTTATCATCATCATCATCATCATCATCATCATCATCATCATCATCATCATCACCATCACCATCATCACCATCATCATCATCATCATCATCATCATCATCATCATCATCACCATCACATCGACGGGTCACCGGCGGGACACCGGCGGGACACCGCGCGGCACCGGTCCCCGGAAAGGAAACATTTGGTCCGGCCGCGCCTCAGCCAAAGGCGGGACACCAGCGCGACACCGCGCGGCACCGGCCCCCGGAGAGGAATCATTTGGTCCGGCCGCGCCTCAGCCGGAGAAGACTTTCTTCTCGCCCGTCCACGCAGCTTCGCCTCGCCCGCACGCATGGCACGCACGGACACGAAACCGAAACCGATTTTCTAGTAGGGGGGCTCTCCGTTCCACTTCGATCTCACCCCCCAACCTCCGACAGTCCCTCTACAGGGGGAATGTTCAAAAATAGTCAAAACATAGTCTGGGGACTATTTTTGGATTTTTTTTTTGCCATCTGAAATATTTGTTGCATATTTTTTCGTCGAAAATCCCCCTGTAGGGGGACACGCCCGACTTAAGCCTACGATCCGATTCGATGCGATGGCTTGGGCCGCGATTCCAATTCGATGCGACTCGACTCAGCTCACCAGCATCGGCCAGGGCCGGCCAAAGCAGGGCGCGGCGATTCGATTGCGGTTCGGCCTGGGGTGATTCGTGTTGGCGATCCGATCCTTTCAAGATCCGATCCGATCTCGCGATTCGATCTGGCTCAGGCCAGCCAGGCGAAGAGCAAGTCGCCGACGACGACGAGCGCTGCGGTCCAAAGGTAGCACCCGGGCGCCGAGGGCAACCGCGGAGCGCCGTGGGGCACGCCGGGCACGTCGCCGGCGGGCGCCGGCGGCGCAGCGGCTGCGGGCGCTGGCGACGTCCAGGTCACGACGACCTGCTGCTCGGCGCGGCGGGGGCCGAGATGGGAGGACGAGGAGAAAGAGGGAGGAGGGAGGAGTGACGAGGACGACGAGGTGGAGGAGGAGGAGGGGGAGGGGGAGGAGGATTGCACGCCCATAGGGGGGAAGAGAGAGAGAGGGTCCGACGGGTCCAAAACCCCCCAGGGGGCCCATCGGAGAGGACCTTTTTGTCACCACGGTGCGGCTCGGACAGGCAGCGCACCGTGGGCCAGCGACAGGGCCCCCTTAGGTAAAATCATCGCCGAGCTCGACCTCAGCAGGTCGGACACGCAACTCCCTTCCGAGCTCACGGGCCTCCGCCTCATTGAGCCCGAAGGCCTGGAGACAGTCAGCCATACAGAGAGAGGCGGCTCCCGAAAACTGTTGGGCCCTCGAAGCCCTACTCGTCGGCTGGGACCCCCAACCTCCGACCAGGAATCGAGGACCGAAAAACTCACGAGCCAGGGCCCCAGGAGATCTCGGGGGTCCCAGCCGCCGCGCCCGATTCGGGTGCTTGAACTTTACAAAACTCGACGTGTTTTTTTTGCCAGGGCCGACCAGCGAGTGAGCCGAGCCCTGGCATCCAGCGTGCAAGCTCCTGGAACCTGTGGCCACAGTTGCATAGCTGCCACAAATGGAGCAAAAGAGGAGGGGGGGGTGGTCCTCTCCCTCCTCCGTAGGCTCCACAGGAAACTCAAGCAGGCAGTGGCCCCCCTCCTTCCACGGCTGCGTGCCTTCGGGCGCCCTGTCCAGGAATCTCTCCAGCGAGGCGGCAGCCGCAGGGTCGGGGGCCGTCGGGACCTCACCGCAAGGGGGGGGCGCAGCTGCCTCGTCCTCGGCCCGAGCCCACTCGAGCCGAGCTTCGTGATCCGAGGGGAGATCCAGGGAAATCAAAGACAAGCCCTGGGCACCTACATTGTCGTAGACCCCGAGCTCACTGTAGTAGACTTCAGCACGCGTTATAAACTGCAACACCTCTCGGGCCAGTAAAAGGCAGCCCTTAGCTAAGAGGGTGTCCCGTTCATCATGCTGGGCAAGCGAGGCCCCCAGCTTGGCCAGCCTATCGGCACCATGGTTGCCCGTGCGTTCGAAATCGGACAAAAGGCCGTCTCTGACATCCTGAGCCGAGAAGTGAGCAGGAACCTTCTTAAACCTGGCCCCCTCAAGGCCTCCCGAAGCCCAAGACTGAGACCAAAGGTGGGCCCTGGGGTTAGCCGAGGAGACCGAGCGCGCTCTGTTTTTGCAACAGTCCAGCGTGCCGTGCCCTTGCAATCAGAGTACAGAGTGAAATCGCCTGCACACAGCTTTGAGACGATGAAAACACTATCGTCCTCGCCGTCGCGCGCCACATGATCAGGCAAGGTGACTGGGGGCACAGAACCATACCACTCCGCAGTGCACCTGCGTGACTCATCGCAGACGGTAACTCCCCATCCAGCCACACGCAAGAACGGGAACAGTCCGTCTCGTCCTGAACCATCACAGAAAACATGTCCCTCGGAAAGCATGAGCGGCCCTGCCAGGCCGCCCTCAACGCGAAACTCCGTGGACGGGTCCCAGGGTTTCCTGGCCAGAAGCTGGCACGGGTCAGGAAAGATACCTCGGGAAAAACGCTCTTGCAGCTCGACACTGCAGGTTGACACTCTGCTGGCTGCACGCTGCACGCACACGGGAAGATTGTCACGGCGCCAGGCCGTCCTGGCCTGGCACTGAAAATGGCGATGAAACAAGGTGCCTCGCTCTCCGCAAATCAGGCATTCTGACGCCAGCTCAGGATCATGCTCACTGAGTCTGTGCTGGCACCAGTGAGAACCCAGAAGGAGTCCTCTGAGCGTACGCTGCTCTCTGACCCCCCACGAACCACCCGTCCCAACCGCCTCGTCCTCCCCGTCAATTCTTCTATGCAGCAGCTCATTCAGCGGTCGCCACAAAAGTTCTGCGAGCCAGGCCTTGCCTGGTCCTATGTTGCCCAAGGCCGCAATGTCCGAAAACCTTCGCGCCGAAAAGCGCGCTCGCGTGGCCATGAAAGCGGACGAGACCTGAGTCAGGTCCCACACCTGTCCCTGGGCCTCCTGCACCAAGAAAGGTCCCTGGAAGACAAACCCGATCCTCAGGCAGGTTAAAACCAGTGCGGACACGGGGTCCTTGACCAGGGTCCAGGGTTTCGGCCTCTGGGCGACCTCCTGGGCTTTCGCAAGCAAAACTGAAAAGGACACGCTCAGACAGCCTGCCATCCTTTAGAATCTGAACATACGTCTTGATCGCGTCAGCAGAGACTTGCACCAAAGGATCTCGCGTCCAACCCCCACGCGTACACATCGACGCCAATCCGAGCGAGCATCCTTTGGGCAGCCTCCCCTCGGCTTTGATAGCCGCAACTCTTAAACTCTTGAGCTTTCCATCGGGCAGCCCCTGGATGTTGGCCCCCCAGAGAGCCTTGGCGGTAATCCCAGCCCGAAAAATTCCCCCCGTCGGGGCACCAGCCTCGCGGAGGCTGAGGACCCTGGCCACCTTGGCCTGGGCCTCTAGGAACGGGAGGGGGAGGAGGAGGAGGAGGAGGAGGAGGAGGAGGAGGAGGAAGGAGGAGGAAGGAGGGAGGGAGGAGGAGGAGGGAGGAGGAGGAGGAGGAGGAGGAGAGGAGGAGGAGGGAGGAGGAGGGAGGAGGAGGAGGGGGGGAGGGAGGGAGGAGAGGAGGGGAGGAGGAGGAGGGGGGAGGAGGAGGAGGATGTTGCCTCATCTTCTCGCCTCCTCGGGGAGGCGCTCGCCACAACGGCCTTCTGCGCGGCACGGCTCAGCGGAGACCCAGACGGGAGAAGGAGGATGAGAAGGAGGAGGGGGAGGGGGAGGGAGGAGGAGGAAAGATGAGGATGAGGATGAGGAGGATGAGGACGAGGACGAGGATGAGGAGAGAAGGAGGACGAGGAGGAGGAGGACGGAGGAGGAGGAGGAGGAGGACGAGGAGGAGGAGGGAAGAGGAGGAGGGAGGAGGGAGGAGGCGACAGGCGAGGCGTCGAAGAACAAAGCGACGAGCTTCGGAGCAAACCATCTGGGACGTATCCAAACGAGGGGTGATTGACAAAGTTGGTATTATAGACGCTTCGCGTAACCCGACCAGCCCCTTCAGAAACGATCCCCAGACGAGTTGCCATGATCAGGGATGTGGAGTAGAATGCAGTGGAATACAGGGTTGGGTACGACATCGTACCCCAAGAGGGGATTGAGGAGGAGGAGGAGGAGCACAAGGAGGAGGAGGAGGAGGAGGGGGAGAAGGGGGAGAAGGGGGAGGAGGAGACAGAGGATGAGGAAGGAGGAGGAGGAGAGCGTGGAAAAAAACGCTGACTCTTTGGGACTCTTTGGTAACGGACCCTGTTCTGGTGAGAAGGCGATGCGACAAGCCGCCGTGGCCTGCTCGCCTCCCCGACGCCCGCGCGGCCTCCGTGAAATGCCTCCCGACGAGGAACCGCGCATCCCCGCGCCGCTGGGCGGCTGACTCAACTGTGTGGGGGCCGTACGGTCAAGTTGCCACATCTAGCGTGCACGCCGCCCCTCGAGGGACAGCAGAACACTCAGACGTGTGCACGCTACACGCCGCATCGCCGGCGCATTTCGAGTTTGATAGAATTGTGGACCCCGCTGGAGGTGGTTCGTGCACTCTATTCGTGTTCGCAGCCTCGGAGCGCACGTGCAATCTATACGTCGCTAGGCCCGACCCTGGAGGTGCAATCTATACGTTTTTGGCTCGTATAGCGCCCCTCGGGGGTGCATTCTATACGTGTCCTCCACCTCCAGCTCGCCATTCCAGTCCGTCCCTTTCTCCGCTCCCCATCCGAATGAAACTGTGTATGGCGCCTTTGGGGGGGTGCACTCTATACGCGTCCTCCTCCTCCTCATACTCGCCATTCCACTCCGTCCTCATACTCGCCATTCCACTCCGTCCTGCACATACTCGTCACTCCATTGGTATCACTTCGGCTGCCTCTACGTACGCAGGAGGAGGAGGAGGAGGAGGAGGAGGAGGAGGAGGAGGAGGAGGAGGAGGAGAGGGAGGAGGACGAGGAGGAGGAGGAGGAGGAGCAGGAGGAGGAAGAATAGGAGGGCGAGGAAGAGGAGGAGGACGAGGAAGAGGAGGAGGAGGGGGAGGAGGAGGGGGATGAGGAGAAGGAAGATGAGGCGGAGAAGGAAGTGGAGGAGCATGAGAAGGAGGAGGAGGTATAAATGGCTCGGGCCGGCGGAGGCCAAAATGCCAAGTCGGAGTTCTGAAAACGCACGTGCAATCTACACGTGATCTGACGTGCACTCTAAGTGTTTTTTCGTCCACGCTGAACACTTTCAAGTGCACGCTAAACACCCCTACAAAAACGCGTATAGAGTGCACTACTTTTTCATGACACTCTGTACGGGCCCCGTTTAGATTGCACTTCAAAATCCGCGCGTGTACGCTATGTGTGGCAACTTGACCGTGGTCACAAACCGACCGAGCATCGAGGAAAACGAAACCTCGGGAGGCGAAAGTGGGGCGAACATTCAAACCGCCGTGGCCTGCTCGCCTCCTCGGCGCCTTCGCGGCGCCATCCGGCCACTGGCCGCCAACGCACCCCACAACCAAAAATGGGCCCCACCTCCGCCGGTCCTTGGGACGGTCGCCCACTGCACTCCGGGTGCAGCCCCGCTGGCGGGGGTGCCCCGACCATCCCCAAGTCCTTGACGGGGCCCCTGCTATCCAAGCAGGGGGGGGGGGGAAGGAAAAGAACGAGGATGAGGATGAGGATGAGGAGGAGGAGGAGGAGGAGGAGGAGGAGGAGGAGGAGGAGGGACCAGGGAGAAGGAGGAGGGACCAGGGAGGAGAGCGGCCGAGGAGCCTCTGGCCGTGGCCAGGATGCCCCCCCAGAGGCTCAAGAACCATCCCAATTTCCAGGGAGGCCCCCCTCCCCCCTCCTCCCTCCTCTCTCCTCCCTCCTCCCTCCTCCCTCCTCCCTCCTCCCTCTTCCTCCTCCCT